GGGGGATGGCCACGCTGCAATCCCTTCTCCTCTTGGGATCTTGGGCACGCACGCACATGCGCCCGGCGTGAGTTTAAGCCACCAGGTCCAGCACTTGAATCAGGGTCAACTCCATGGGAGTCCAGCGACATAGCCATTACGCTAACTGCTGGTCCCTCTAACTGACTACTCCTCCCCCTAGACTTCAGTGGCTCAGCCTTGAGAAAATTTTAGAAAGGAAGCAAAGGGATGCAGTCAGGTTGACACCAGCACTGGCCGCTCTTCTGGAACTCATGGATCAGAGCTACCAAAACGACAGGAGTGGGGGTCTGAGGCGATCTGCTTATTCCGACCTGTGACTGCGAAACAGATTTCCAAACGTCACAGTACTCCAGCCTGCGGCAACTGTGTTTTCTGGAAACTACTGAGTTTCCTGGGAGGCTGTTGGCTTCTTGGAGGTACCCCACTTTCTCCAACTATGTAGCCATCCTGAGGACCTGTTCTGACCGTCTTGCAGGTCAGGGATGTGGACCTCTGACCCTGCTGAGGCTGGAACAGTTAGAGCGTAGGGCTGCAATGCCCTCCAGGGGGCGCACCGTTCAGTTCCTTTGCTAGGAAGTAAAATTCAGAACCTGTGAGAGGGGCGGGGCCTTTAATCCCGACAGGCCACACCCCAGGGGTGAGATCCTTACTGGTGGCCGAAATGTGATACTCAAAAATGAAGCGAAAACCAAAGCAGACCTCTCTGAGGGTAAAGTGGATAGAAGTGTCCTTTTACTGGAGACGTTGGGGAGTTTGGTGGTTATCTAAAGATCACCGATCACAGGGAACCAGCAGTTCGCATAATGGCTATGTCGCTGAACTCCCACGTAGTCGACCGCGGTTCGCGTCCTGGACCCGGTGGCTTAGAACTCACGCTGGGCTCATGTGCGTGCGTGCCCAAGATCCCGAGAGGAGAATGGAGGAGAAGGGATTGCGGCGTGACCATCCCCCCTGGGGGGTGATTTCTCGCTTTCTGTCTCTATGTCTCTCTGTCTGGTGAGCGCGCGCGCCCTATAGTGAAAAACCTCTCCAAAAAAATAAATAAATAAAAAATAAAGATCACCGATCACAGAGGCTCTTGTAGAAGTACAGGAGGACGTGTCTCTCTTGAGAAAGCACGGGAAGCTTTAAAGACTCTCCCTCTCACAGGTGACATTTGTGCTTACGGCATGGAATTGGCTGTGCCAGATCAGAAGGAAGTAACAGAACAGCCTAGGAAGGGAGACTTACAGGGCTCAGGAGGAGCCATTCAGTGGGCGTGAAACAGAGTGCGCTGCTTGAAGGACTTTCTGAAGCTGCTATTTCAACAAATCTGGAAAACTTAGAAATTCGTTAAAAATGTGTCTGAGGGGCTCGGCAGTGGCAGAGTGGTGAGCGAGACGTTCCCCAGGCCGACCCACGTGTGTGCCCTGGAGACGTCCCCGAGCAGCTGGGCAGGGCCGGCTGGGCAGGGGGTGGAGTGCGGCATCGGACCACAGCTGGGGTGCTGTTTGGGGTGCTGTCTTTCTTTTCTCTGTGTCTCTCTGCCTCACTCTTAAAATAGATACTTTTAAAAAATGTGTCCAGGCACTGACCTATAGACTCAAAACTGACCGTGTGACAGATGCCTTCAAGCTTGTATGCGTTTAAGAGAAATAATTACGCCATTCTTATGTTTCAAAAGAAAACCAAAATGCGATTTTTTTTTTTTTTGGAGAGATTTTCGCTATAGGGCGCATGCACTCGCCAGACAGACAGAGAGAGACAGAGAGACAGAAAGCGAGAAATCACCCCCCAGGGGGGATGGTCATGCTGCAATCCCCTCTCCTCCATTCTCCTCTCGGGATCTTGGGCACGTACGCACACGCGCCCGGCGTGAGTTTTAAGCCACCGGGTCCGGGACGCGAACCGCGGTCAACTATGTGGGAGTCCAGCGACATAGCCATTACGCTAACTGCTGGTTCCCAAAACGCGATATTAAGATGCTGACATCGTCCACAGCGCGAATGTGTGGACATGTATTCAGCCGTTTCTCTGTCATCGAGCTTAGCTTGGCTCTTTCTTTGGCTATTATAAAATGATACTTGTTTTTATCCACTTACACATTCGGTCCAAATAGTTGCCAACCAGGAATTCTCATTTCTGGGACAGATGGGTGGATTCTGTCTCACAATGAAAATCCCTGGTGTCTGAAAGGAGTGGTAGGAGGAGCCCTGGGACAGGGTGTCCCGTAAGAGGACAGCAGGACTGGGTGTGGGTCTTTGCTCTCGAGTAAACTGAGCAAGGCCCTTGGAGGTGGTCACCCGTTCCCGACAGGAGGGTGAAAATGAGAATGCGATTTATTTTCTCCGCTGGTCGTGTGGGGGTCAGTACCAGCACCCGCTATGACGTGCTCACAGGAAACAGCTGGAAGGACAGTTGTCACCAGAAATGGCCTCTTGTCATCTGCTGGGCTTTGCTGTGTCTTTGCAGAATGGAGAAGCCGACGCCATGAGCTTAGACGGAGGCTTTGTCTACATCGCGGGCAAGTGTGGCCTGGTCCCTGTCATGGCAGAGAACTACGGTAAGTGGGTGGGGGACACCCCTGTGTTTTCTGAGTCCTGGAGACAGGAGACAGGCCAGTCGTAGCACTGCTCCGCCACAGCTGCCATTGAGCGCTCCCTTATTCCAAACCCCGCCACCAGCTGCCGTCATCTCGAAGGGCAGGCGTTATCCTGCCTCCCGGCAGTGGGAAATAGAAGCTCCGTGCTGTGGACCTGGCTGCGGAGGGCAGCTGGGATTTCCGGCAGGTCTTTCAGCTTCCCAAACTCACGCTTCCCCTGCTGCCCTGCGGCAGAGATTTCAATGCAGTTTCCAGTCCTCCTCTCTGGGCTCAGTGCAGACAGAGCGGGAAACCTGAAACTGGAAGTCTGTGGATAAATTCTGGAAGTCAGCAGCTCAAATGGACTTACTTCATCCATAGAGTTTGAGCTCGCTGGGAATTTAACATGTGCAAATAGTTTCAAATAGTTTCTTTTTCTTTCTCCTTTTTTTTTTTTTTTTCTAGAGAGAGATTTTTGTTATAGGGCATGTGCACTTGCCAGAGAGATGGAGATAGAAAGAGAAAAATCAGGCCCCCAGGCGGATGGCCGTTCCACAGTCTTGACTCCTCTACTCTCCTCTCAGGATTTTAAGAACACACGCCCACGCACCCGGGATGAGTTTTCATGCCGGGTCCGGAACTTGAACCGCAGTCAACTTTGTAGGTAATCGTTAGGCCATCTGCTGGTCCCCTTTGTGCAGATAGTTTTGTCTGACTCTTTATTCTTAGCGGTAGCATAAGAAGGGCATGAATTTCCAATCTGTTAATACAACTAAGTGTCTAATGCCTTCTTCACTTCCTTTCCCCAGCAAATAAGTCTTCGTGTAAAACTCCAGAGCCAGGTGAGTTGGGGTTTGTAAACTTGGGTTGAAAGGTAAATTCTCATAGTTTGAGAGAAGTGGTAGGTAAGTTTAAAATTCAGATCACAGGTATTGGAAGAGACCAGTTTTTAGAATGCAGAAGCATCATGGAACGACAGCAATTGATACTGGTGGCTGTTCTTCCCACGTCCCATGATGTGACACTGCCTTTCTCACCTCACCCTATAAGGTAGGTATTAGCATTGTCTAAGGACGCCTAAGACGAGCCCAGGGCTCAGGGACTGATTATGTACCCAGGAAGCCAATCCAGGCCCTCCCCCTGTTCCCTCACCACCTCGCCTGCCATGGACTGCACACTTTTGGATGAGAGTTGTTACCAGCCAAGGAACCTTGCTTATTTGTTTCCTACAGGACTGAGCAGGGCTCACACAGGCAGAGTAGACGTCTGGGAGCATAAAACTACGGGGCCTCTCAACCAGGGCTGGACCAGGAACCCAAATATACCTGACTCCCGCCCAGGGCTCTGGCTAGGGGCAGATCTGGAAGATGGGGCAGAAGCAAATCAGGAAGCCTTATAGCAGTGTGAGCACTGGGCCTCAGACCCGTGCGGGTCATGTCACGTTCCAGACGCCATTAGTGTGCAAGTCTGCCCTTGTCACCTCTGCTGATCACAACCTCCCACCCTCTCTCCACCATCGAGGAGCCAAGACTCTAGCAGACTTAGGAAGAGCCATTCTGTTCCGTGATAATAAGGATTCGGTTTCCTTTGGAAAACTGAAACCACAGACTGATGTCCTCGTCCCTATTTTAAGGACTAGCATAGATTTGCTGCTAAAAATGGCAGCCTACTTGATTTTGACATTTTCCACTTTGTATATTTGTTTCGGTGTAAAACTATACCCTCCTTATCAGAAAACATCTGGCCTGACTATTTTCTTCTGCCTATTGGTATTTACTACTCGAGCCCAATGTATTGCTTATTTTCTTTTTTTTTGGAGAGATTTTTGCTATAGGGTGTGTGGGTTTGCGGAGAGACAGAGAGACGCAGAGAGACAGAAAGTGAGAAATCACTCCAGGGGGGATGGCCACGCTGAAATCCCTTCTCCATCCTCCTCTCGGGATCTTGGGCATGCATGCACACACTCTTGGCATGAGTTTCAAGTGACCAGGTCCGGGACTCGAATTGCAGTCGACCACGTGGGAGTCCAGCAACATAACCATTGTGCCATCTGCTGGCCCCTACATTAAAAAAAAATCTTGCTAGAGGGTACATGTGCTCACTGAAGAGAGACAGACAGAGGGAGAGGAAAAGTGAGAAAGCACCTCTGAAATCAGGGGTAGTGGCCTTGCCGCAATCCCTCTGCTCCATTCTCCTTTTGGGAGTTGGGCATGCACACACATGTGCCTGACATGTTTTTCAAGCTGTTGGGTCCAGGACTCCAACCACACAGTTGACCATGTGGATTCTAGCTGCCTTAACCAGCATGACTGCAGCTGGCCCTGCCCAATACATGTTCATTTAGAAAACACTGAGTTTTTGTCATATTCCTCCCTCCGATAGAACACATTGGAGGGTGAATTGCTGGTATTTAACTTCAGTAACTCTGTGTATTCATGGAAAGGTTATACTCCAGCCATTGCTCTAATGACAATGGATTCATAGTATTTTTATTTTATTTTTTAAAGAATTCCTTTATTTAGCTTCATTAATTTATTTAAAGTTACATTTTTTTTTCTTTTGAGAGGTTTTTGCTATAGGGCACATGCGCTCACCAGACAGACAGAGAGAGAGACATAGAGACAGAAAGCGAGAAATCACCTCCCAGGGGGGATGGTCACGCCACAATCCCTTCTCCTCCATTCTCCTCTCGGGATCTTGGGCACGCACGCACACGCGCCCGGCGTGAGTTCTAAGACACCAGGTCCGGGACGTGAACCGCAGTCAACTATGTGGGAGTCCAGCGACATAGCCATTACGCTAACTGCTGGTTCCCTATTTATTTGATCAGAGAGGAACAGAGTGAGCGAGAGAAAGAGGGAAAGTGAGAAAGCAAGCTGCCAGGTCCGAGTCCATGGCTGGCCGTGTGGGAGTCCAGCACCCCTAACCACCATGCCACCTGCTGGCCCCAGATTCATAGTATTTTTAAAGTTCAGATGAATCTTCTCCCAATCAAGTGCACTGTACCTCACCTCAGTTAGTTACTGGAGAAATCCTCTCAAGACACAATGAACAATTCAAGAACTCTTTGCTTCTCGAGGGAGATAGTAGCTTTAATTGGAGGCAAAGGCTCTGGAACTCCCAAAGGTGTGACTGTTTCTTTTCTGGTGTCTTCCTTGTAGGGTACTATGCTGTGGCAGTAGTGAAGAAAAAGGATGCTCACATCAACTGGAACACCCTGGAAGGCAAGAAGTCGTGCCACACTGGCGTAGGAAGAACTGCCGGCTGGACCGTTCCCATGGGCCTGATCCAGAGCAAGATCAACCACTGCAGATTCGGTGAGCAAGTCCCGGGAAAGAAAAAAAGGGTCTGGGGGAGACGGTCTGGTACAGGATGCTGCAGGCTCTAGTTCTGTGGAAGCAAGGTTCAGTAAAACAGAACCTCAAGAAAATATCGAAAAGGGCTATGAGGACTGGGCCACCGGGACTGAGCGAGGATGAGTCTTTTCGTTGCATGCGTAGCGTTTCTCTCTCGTGAAGGAGCCCAGAGGTGAGCAGTCCACACACTTCCACGAGCACCAGAACCCAGGCTCCCTCTCTCTTTTTGTTCTAGTATTCTTAGCATGAAGCTTCCATCTTATTTTTTTTTAAGACAGATTTTTGCTGTAGGCCACGTATGCTCACTGGCGATAGAGAGACAGAAAGCAAGAAATCACCCCCCCACCCCGGGGCATGGTCATGCTACCATCCCTACTCCTCCATTCTCCTTTGGGATTTTGGGCACGCATGCACACTTGCCTGGCAGGAGTTTCAAGCTTCTGGGTCCAGGACTCGAACCACAGTCGGTCATGTGGGAGCTCAGGACGTAACCATTATGCCATCTGCTAGTCCTGAAACTTCCAACTTTGACATCACCCTACGGTGGCCATCAGAGCCATGATCTGGGCAGCCCCGAGCTCCAAAGGGTTAGGGCAAAGGGGAGTTGTGCCAGTTGCTGCCAACTTTATAAATGAGCTTTCTGGAAAATCTAACCAAGTATTTCAGCTCACTTTTCATTTTCCAGAGCTTAGTACATTTCCATACCTAGGTGTAAAAGAGAATTGTAATCTTTCACTTGGGTGTGTTCCTTCCCCTACCAAAACCGAACTTTCATATTAAGAAACAGGGAGAGATGGGTACTGGGTGGAGAGCTAGTTCCCCCTGCTAAGGGGGCTTTGTAGGCTAAGTGAGTGTGGGCGAGCCCCGGGTCTCTGCACGGAGTCGTCAGTCTTACCAAGTCCCTGCTTAGCTCCTAGGATCCTCCTAAGGGGTAGAAAACAGCTCATTCTCTGTGCAAGCTTATTTCTAATCCCCTTAAGCCCTGCGTGTACGTCCCCACAAATGTTCTCCAGTGGTCTGGGTTTACATTACTCTCGAGGTTGCTTTCTGCCACCTCCAGATTTGGGCAACTCCTTGAATATATGAGATCTTTCAACCTGGTATGAACCCAGCAGACCCTGTGTGTGAGGGCTGTCTGTGTACCAGGCTGCTCTGTGACACCAGTGTGGCACGAGGCCGAGTGCGGCCAGGAGGTGCCCGAGCTCCGGGTCCCCACGGCAGACACTACCTCTGCTTCCCGGGCCTCCTGCCGCCCCTTTCTGGAGCAGAGAGAGAGGAAGGACTCTTCTAGTGAGCAGGGGGACATCTGGAAACAGGCGGCTCGAGCTCAGGAGCTGGGGCCTTCGATCTCCTCCCCTGATGTCCCCTTCCTTTCGTTTTCATGTCTTTTTTTGGTAACACCATCATAGTGCTCAAAGGACTCCCTTCCACAGTGAATTATAATGATCATAAACTCCTGTCCCAACCTTGGTACATTTCTTTTAGAACTGGTAAGGTCCTACTCACCTGTGTTGCTAGTAGTAGGTCACAGAAAAAATCAGTATGTCCCACTGCCTGGGCCACGTGGGCCCGCATGGGTCAGGACCGCGCCCTCGCCTAATTCAGGAAGAGCTGACTTCTTGCCCTTCTGCACAGATGAATTTTTCAGCCAGGGCTGTGCCCCTGGGTACCGGAAAAACTCCAGTCTCTGTGAGCTGTGTGTGGGCGCCAACGACAACAAGTGTGCGGCCAACACCAAGGAGGGTTTCTACAGCTACACGGGAGCGCTCAGGTACGTCCTTCAGCCCTGACACGGCACGACACCCGGCCACCCGGCTGCTTCCAGGGCGATGCTAGCTGTTAGCGCTGTACGTGTTATAGGGCGAGGTCCCTACCACGCGCAGCTGCATGTGGAGGGACACCCAGGCCCTTCTAGCGCACCGCCGGTCTGAACCAGCTGTCACAGACGGCAGAGCCCAGGGTATGGTACATCGGTCCCCCACGGTCACAGCAGTTTGCTCCCAGGGGACATTTCAATTATCCCAGTGTTGGGGGGGCTACTACGGGTATCTAATGGGTAGAAGCAGCTAAACACCCCCCGTAGGGTAGCACTGTACACCAAAGTCCCGAACACCCCCCGTAGGGTAGCACTATACACCAAAAGCTTGTCCCGCTCCAAATGTCACTCGTACCCAAGCGCTGAAACCCTGCTAGTCAAATACACACTGAGTCGGGAGTTTGGCTCCAGCCCTTCTGCGTTCCAAGTACCCCAAACTGCAACTATCTAGACATGGAGAATAGTGAAGTACATGGTTTCTAAATTCTTTGTTTTTTTTTGTTTTTTTGTTTTTTTGTTTTTCCGGTTTGGGTTAGGGTGTGAGCACTCACTGGAACGAGAGAAAGAGAGAAAGTGAGAAACCCTCCCACCCAGGGAGGTCGGCCACAACGCAGTCCCGTTTCCTCCAATCTCCTCTGAGGATCTGGGGCACACACGCACACATGCCCAGCGTAATTTTCAAGCTGCTAGGTCTGAGACTCGAACCACACAGTCGGCCGTGGGGATCCAGGCCTTGATCTCTGTGACACCTGCCGGCCCCACGTGATTCTAAATTCTTCTCTTTGGCCGTATTGTGCTTTGTGGGGCACCTAGCGTTTTTAATAGATACCTGGGTACTTTATTATGTTTTTACCTATCCTTCCCACTTCAGGCCTGCCGCTCTCTGGTAGTTTATGGACCCAGAGCTGCACAGAGGAGGCGGGATCTTAAGTGAACTCCCAGTGCTCAGGCAAAAACCAGAGGTGACCCCTGCTTTCTAGCTAGAGCCGCCATGTGAGTTAGAGCAGTACGATTCACACCCCACAAGCTTTTAAGCTATGAAGTAGAGCGAGTCAATTTCCCAGGCGTTTAAGAATCTGGAAGACTTGAGACGCAGCCTGCTTTGCACCTCCTCTTGTCCTTCTCCAGTAGCAGAGCGTTTGAGAATTCCATGTCAGGAGAGGTTCAGACTTAGCTTACACAAACATGTGCAACTCTTGTTCCGATAATGACTTGCCACCAATAGAGGGTGAGACGCAAGATTGACAAATAGACGATGAACTCCAAAGAAAGTAAAATGGGGACCAGCAGTTGGCGTAATGGCTATGTCACTGGACTCCCACGTAGTCGACCGTGGTTCGCGTCCTGGACCCGGTGGCTAAAAACTCATGCCGGGCGTGTGTGCGTGTGTGCCCAAGATCCCGAGAGGAGAAGGGATTGCCACGTGGCCATCCCCCCGCTGGGGGGTGATTTCTCACTTTCTGTCTCTCTGTCTCTCTCTGTCTGTCTGGAGAGCGCACGTGCCCTATAGCAAAAACCTCTCAAAAAAAAAAAAAGTAAAATGAAAGAAATGCACGTCGCGGCGGGCACCCCTCGCTCGGCCAGCTGTTCCCAGAGCTCTCGCCTCTGCTGTGGGAAGTCAGGTTCTGGCCTTTGAAGCCAGGGAGGGGCAGTGGGTGGAGCAGGACTGGGCCTACTGTCCAAGGGTCTGACTGCTGGATTGTGGAGTAGGGCTGACATTTTCATGGGCTCCTCATTTGTCTGACACACGGCTTCTAAACCATTGCGACCCAGTACACATTACTACTAGAACCATACTAAACAGTTTGTTTTGTTATTCTTTGTTTTCCAAAACATCTCGGGGGCTTGTAGTGGCTTGGAGCTGTATTTACAACCTCCAGTACCACAGCAGGGACACACGGAGAGGGAGCTAAGACAGCCACATGCTTAGACACCAGATATGTTCCTACTCTGCATTTCTTAAAAAAAAATAGGGGGGGAGGAAAATGCTTCATGAATGTTGAAATTATTTTTCAAAAGATACAGCATATCAGAAATTGAAATGTGTGCTGGAGTTTCAGCCTCTCACAAATGTTGCACAGACCCAACTGCATCTCCTAAGAACCTGGAGGCATTGAGCTCTTCGTTCACAGGTGCATGGGCATTACCTCACTGGAAAACCGACTCCACTGTCAGTGTCGGTGCAAGGAAAGTCATGGAATCACTAGAAACGCTGTACCGAAAAATGGTGATTTCCTATGTAGCACCAAGACTGTGTAACCACACAGCAATTTGGAACCTTTCGTTTTCTCTTTCTTTATTCTTTATATCGCTTTGTGATATTAGAATGAAAGTTACCATTGCTGGTATCAGCGGGCCAGCCTGGATCTGCAAGGTGGCCCCTGAATGACAGAGGTGTCGTGTTGACCTCCTCTCTTCTTGTCTGGGCCTCTGCAGGTGTCTGGTTGAGAAAGGCGACGTGGCCTTTGTGAGAGACAAGACTGTCGAGGAGAACACTGACGGTACGTGCACGTCTCTCCCCATAAAATCGGGGTCACTAGGGTTGTGGAATACTCTGGATGCGGTTAGGCCCCGAAGCTCTGATCCCAGCTTGTCTTCCCATTGGAGAGCGATGCATTCACCCGGGCCCAAGAAGGACCTGGCGTTCCACTGGAGAGTGATGCGTCCTGTTCCAAGACAGGACCTGGCGTTCCCAGGGCCCGCGCCCTCTCCCACACACGTCTCCACGCTGCAGGCCTGGCCTCCCTCCCCCTAAATACTTCAGTACCATCTCCCAAGAACATTCTCTTACACACCTACATTAAAATGGCCAACACCAGGGAATTTCACATTGCATGGATTTATATGCACATTCCATATTCAAATGTCCTCCCTCTCAATAACGCCCTTTGTTTTCTCTCTTTCCTGGCTCTCTCCACTGAGAAGGCCTCGAGGCAATGGTACACCAGTAGGAATGAGCACCAAGATGTTGACTTCTAAATACTGTTCTCTGCTAACAGGTTCTAGAACTCCTTGGAAAACTAGCAGATACGAGGGTCGAAAATACACAGCAAACCCAGCACATCACACTCAGGGTGATGGGACGTGTCAGAGCAGGCCAGAGCCAGTTTGAAGGTTCTCCCATTGCCAAATCTGGGAATTCTGAACATTAATAATGACAGCAGGAGGGCACACACCCGAGCAGTTCTGCTTAGACAAATGAGTGGGAATTCCTCCTTATCACGGAACGCTAGCCTGTGAACGTGGAAGGAACGACAAGGTTGGAAAACTATCATTTGACAGTCAGTATGTTGGTACTAAGTTGAGGCCAGAATCATCCCTGAGTATTAACCTGAGGGTGAGGATTAGGTGGCCATGACATGACAACAGGCCAAACCAAACAAACACCGGTAAGAACGGGCACTCCTCGCCTGGCCCTTACTGTCCCTGCGCTGGTAGACTCCACTGGAGTTCGGGCTGTCCATTGTCTCCCCGGCTATCTCGTGTCCACCCCCCAACCTCCCATCTTTCCGGGGCACTTCATCGGGAATGAGCAGCTCAGCACCAGCTCCTGTCGGAAGCCTTCCCAGATGGCACACCCCACCCCACGAGAACCCCTCATCCGTGTTGCAGCTACTGAATTCACCACGTCGTGTGATGTACTTGGACTACAGAAACGCTTTGAGTTCTTTTCCCTCCTCTTATATTGAGTTGTCAGGAAAGCCATGACACACTGCTTGCATACAAAACATAGAAAAATGCATCATGACTAATATTCCTGGCACCTCGGACGGCATGCGGCCACGAGCAGTTGCTAAGAATTTATCGGAAGGTCGGTTAGCTTTCTTTCTTATTATTTTTGCTCTCCTTCTTCCTCCTACCAGAAGGTTCTTTGTTACCTTTGATCTGTTTTTGTACTCTTCTGAATAGGACCCTTCTGCTAGGCCTTCCCTCTCCACTCTGTGCAATGACTCCGAAGTCCCTCCCTCTGGAATAGAATCTAGAAGGGAGGCCTGGCCGCATTCCGGTATCTCTGTTCCCCGAGGTGTCATCGTGTATATGCAGCACACCCGCATTGCAAACTCACCTTGCCTAAACCCAGATTCCTCCTCTCTCTCTCAAAGTTGCCTCCTCTTTTCACAGACTCTATCTGACTACACTCCTTCCAGTTGAGCCTAGGTTAAGTCGGTTCGTCAACGTCTCATTTTCTCTCTTAAAATATGACCTAAGTACCACGGTATAGAAAGATACCAAAGCAATGGCTTTTGGACTGAATACGTGCGTCCACTGTGTGTGTGCACCATAGAAAGACTAGAAGAAATGCACCAGGCTTCAAGAAACACCGTGGAATCACACGTCTCCAATTTTCTTCCAAATACTCTGTCCCATTTTAAAAGTCCTTGTTAGTCAGCACTTACTACTTTTATTGGAAAAAACATATTTTGAACATGCCCTTCCGGTTGCCCACTGCCACCCTCCTGGAGAAGACTGAATCACTTCTTCCCACCTAATTGTTCTTAATTTTGTACATTCACACACCGTGGGTCCGCCACATCCCCCGAGTGAGGGCACCTTGAACAAAGCTATCGACTCCGCTTGCTCAACCTTCTTTTCCTCCTTAGGAAAAAACCCTGAGCCGTGGGCTAAAGACCTGAGCTCGGAAGACTTCGAGCTGTTGTGCCTGGACGGCAGCAGGGCTCCTGTGAAGGAAGCCGAGAAATGCCACCTGGCCCGAGGCCCGAACCATGCCGTGGTCTCTCGGAGAGATAAGGCAGACTGTGTTCGCGAAATACTGAAAAACCAGCAGGTAAGGAAGGGCCAGGGCCCCTCGCTCTAGATGGGCGTTATCTGAGGAAGGTCACAGCCAAGTGTAACCCTGGACTCCCTTTCTGAAAACTAGGATTCTGAAACCATAAACTGTAGGCCGGGTCACGTGGGTTCAAATCTCAGCTCAGTGGTGTCCTCGCTGTGCCGTTTGCTTCTCCCTGACCCCCAGAGGATGTGTGCACTCATCAGAGACAGAGAGACAGAGAGACAGAGAGGGCGAAAGCACCCTCCAACAGGGCGTGATAGTACCCAACCCCGTCCCCTCCACTTCCCCGCCCCAGGCTGTGGGGCACGTGCGTGAGTCCCACACACTTCCCAGGCATTTAAACCACACAGGCGGCCTGTGGGATCCGCCTCCCCTCCCCGCCAGGCCCTGGTGCCAGCCTGCTGTGTCGTCCTGCGTTTTTCTATCCTCTCCATGCCTCAGCTTTTACATATAGAAAATGAGAGTACTAGCACTTTGACCCACTTCCCAGCGCAGACACGGAGTAAGTGAAGCAATGTGCAGCGAGGGCATGGAGAGATGATGAGCTACAGGGAGTGCTCAGACAGGCCCGCATGTCAGTGGTGGGACGGGATTCCCAGGCCCAGCTCCGTCAGTATAGCCCGGTAATCGGATCCATGTGCCCTGGGGACCAGGAGTCTTCCTGCTCCCTCTGTCCTTGCTCAGAATGCAAACGACGGGACCTGTTTCCCAGCTTCCCGTGATGTAAGGCGGGAAGAGTGGATGTCTGCGCTCCCACCTAGGCCGACGAGGCCCTGTTCTTTCCAGCCTGCAAACACAGGACGCCTTCCCTCGGAAAGCCTGCCCTGGGGAGAACGCCATCTCAGGGCCAGCCTTGTGAGGGAGGGGGCTACCTGAGAATTCATGTCCTCCAGGCCCCTCTACACACAAGCGTCACCTTCCTTTCAGGGAGAGCTTCCTGTTGAGTCACCATGAGCTTTTTTAAAAAATTAAGATAGCGAATCTTCAGAAGTCCTTTCAAGGCATATGATGACAACAATGAGCGATTTCTAGGTGCTATATGGAATGACACCCCTTTTGCAATTAGCATTTCACTTCTAACTTTATGAGGCCCGGAGAAGTTAAGTGGCTTTTCCCAAGATGGGATTTCAGATGCAGTCAAACATGAATTTTTTTAAAATAAGTTTTGTGTAGGGGGAGTGTGCTTTCTGGAGAGAAACAGAGAGAGAGAGATGGAAAGGGAAAGTGAGAAATCATTCCCCGGGCAAAGGGTGAGGGATGAGCACACCACACTCCCTCCTCCACAGTCTCCTCTCTGGATTTTGGGCATGTACACTCATATGCCCGGTGTGTTTTTCAAGCCGCCAGGTCTGGGACTTGAACCACGGAGCTGGCCATATGGGATCTAGTGCTTTAACCACCATGCCATCTGCTGGCCCCAAACATGAACTTTCAACAGCTACCTTCACCGTCCTCTGGGAAGGCTCACGTTTAATATCTTCTTTGACAAAACACTGAAAGGACCATGTTCTCGTCCTCTTGTTTCCTGTATCTGCCCCCAGGAGACACAGGCAGTGGAGTAGGGAAGAGAGATGGGAGGTGGGAGTGGATGGTGGCAAGGACTTCTCAGAGGACGCTGGGACCGGGGGTTCCAGGCGTCATGGAAGTGAGGTGTTGGCACGAGTGGGTAAACGGCAAGTGAGGGAGGCAGAAAGTTCCTGCAACACACCCTGCGGCTCCCTGGACCCCGGTGGCTCCGGGCTGCTGCCTTCTCTGACCCGTGTATTCGTTTAGCTGCTCGAGGCCACA